CTTTTAGAAACTTTTACCTCTCTAGCAATTTTCCTTTAAAACTTTTCGTTTATTAATAAAAAAATAAAATGTATTACCATTCACCTCACACCGTATATGATTGCAATCAATCAAAGAAAAACTAAGTGTGCTGCTGTCATGCCAGTTGTCACAATTAACTCTTCTGTAAGTTGTCACTGTTATCAACTAAATACTTTTTGGGTGTAAATTAAGAAGAATTATGCCAAATTTTACTAACGATGAATATGTGGACATGCTACAAGTGTATTTTGAAAATATAGAGTTGAATGCGACTTTTTGTTTCGGCAAGCTGAATTTATCACTATAGTTGCTAAATATTATACAATACAATACAGTATTGTACAATAACATATTAGTTTCCACAGTCATAAAAATGGGGGGAAGATTGCTTACAGGGTGGTTAATTGTATAATTTTTACGTAAATTCACGTTTTTCGCTTATAACTTTTTTCCGTTTACTTCCACGAGAAAACAGTAAAGTACCTTTTTTTCGTCTTCAAAAGACCTACAAAACTAGCCCTCGAGCGTAAAAAAATATTGATTAGATCAAAAGTTATAAACAGGAGAAGTTTATTTATGACTTTTGAATTAAACATTTATAAACTGCATTATTATTACCAGAACGTTTTGGTATTGCATCCTCTCATTTATTGTCACTGTCTAATAACTCACACGAAATCTGAAATCGGTAAGTTGTTATTCAACGAATCTTGACGATTTTTTTTCAACTTAAAGTTCTTTTCATAAGCTTTCCGAATATGTAATAATATATAACTATATCACGCTCGTGCGTCGTATATTTCATTTTGCAACTAAGGCTAAAAAATAAAAATAAATTCCAGCTTGCAAATTTGAAATTTAAAAAAAAATGACAGATTTCAACGTATTATTATGAAATCTACCATAAAAAAAAACAGTGCGATTGTGGAAGATCATCCAGACTAATAATTAGTTAATTTGTTTATAAGGCCATAACTTGTAAACTATTCAACTTACCAATTCCAGATTTCGTGTGAGTTATTAGACAGTGATAAGGAATGAGAGTATGCGATGCTAAAATGTTCTGGTAATAATAACGCAGTTTATGAATGTTTATGCATGAAGAAGAGGACACCGGATTGCCTCTGTTTAAAGAGAATCGTTACTGAGAAAAAAAGTGCAATAATATTGCCTGTAAAACAGTATTTTAGTAGTTCTTAATGTTTCCACGAATTTTGGGCTGCTCAAAACAACTGGAATCTGTCCGAAGTGCGTAATAGGAAAACCGTCACCTAATATTTCTCACACGGAGCCCTGAAGGGACAACAACAAAAGTCTAAACACCCACATCGACAAATCCGGGAGGCAGGATCCGTCCTGGGGACCTAATATATAAAGTTTTACATTTATCATTATCATTTAAACAATGCCGAAGTTTCAGATAATAAAGCGAGGAAAACAAATCCCAAAATAATCAAAACTTGGGACGAAGTCGGCTGAGGCCGAAATAAACGATTATATTCTTTCCGAACTACTTATCGACTTTCTTTGAACCCCGGAGATAACGAAGAAAAGTTAGCCATTTAGTGTAGAAATGGGAAACTTGTAAATACTTAATGCGTTTCATAGGATACCCGGTTAATGACTGCCACCGAAAACGGCTTGTTTCGTTTATTAAATAATAGGCAGTCTTCGCAGAAAACGTGTAAAAAGCTCAATTATCAAAGTTGCCGTTAATTCTACACGAGTGTTTTGTACTTCGTACATCATCAGCCATGCTGAAAATTAAGGGGTAAAGTTCACATAAAGTTTCGGTGAAATAACTTCGTTCCGGGGGGTTGCAGTTGAAAATTTTAAAACTATTTGCAGGCGTATATCGGAAGCTCATTAAGCAATATTCGATGTGGAGAGTACTACGGCAGACCTCCATGATCAGAATCAATTTCATGTTAATACAAAAAAAGCAATGGGCGCAAACTTCATACTCAGAGCCTTTTATATATACAGGGTCGGAAAGTCCCCATGGTTCATCGGCCGTTACGTGAGAGCGATAAAGAAAGCCATAGAAATCCGTGCGATAGACAAGGATGGCTATAATGAAGGCGTCTAACAATCACCGCCCATTTCGCCCTTCCACAAATAAGAAGTGGATCTTGGAGCATTTTAATTGACTGATTTTTTCAGGTGCGATTTTTGGTTAGGCAAAACTATTCTAACTATTATTTTCACAGGTCGAAAAATAACAATAGATAGAGGGAAAGACAAAAACTATACCACAAATAACTCCATCGGATCGAGCTAGTCGAACGGTGTGACGTCGCAAACGTTCTGCGAACGGTTTGGACCGTTTTGAATATTTTATGAATTAGAAATTATTTGTCACAATTAATATTAAAACCATCATCCTGATTTTTTCACTACATATTTAGGGGGGCGAGTGCTTATTATAATTATAAATTCAATATTACTGAAAGATCCCATTAGAGCTCAATCTGTATCTGCATATCGTTGTATTTAAAAGTGACCACCCCGTATCGTCATCTGTCACGAACGTGTTTCCGACGTCATCCATCTTGCAACTGTCCCCTGTACCCTCTCCCAATCGGGTGTAAGATAATAGCGGCGTTCTCAAACTGGGAACGAACGGCGTCGAGCCGCCGTCGTCGCCGTCGCCGCGTCCGGACGTATTGATCATAAAGTGACAAAGTTCCGGCACAAATTAGTTGACCGTACCGGTTATTAGTTGCCGGCCGTCCGATACGGGGGGGCATCAATCACCGGCGACGCCAAATAAAAAGGGTTAAACGCTCAGGGACCGACCGAGGCGACAAAGAACAAACGGCCGCGGAGGATTAGGCCGTTCGGCCCCCTGTATCCGAACAGTTAATCCGTCAGATTGAATTACCGAAATGATAAATTGCGATCCGGTTCCGGTGATAAACGAAGTAGGGGATCGGTCATTTCGTTCGATAACGGCGCCCAGATATGTTCCTGGTCAGTCGGGAAGGGCGAAAAATTATTTTAAAAATTGAATTTTCAATATTTGGCTCACGTTTCTATTATTTATGTATTTATTTAGAAATATGTATAATATTCAACGGGACAAAATCTCTGTTAGGCCGGTAACATACTGGAGAAACAAATTTCGTGAAATTTGTAGTCAACTAGAAGATCATTTATAAAGGTCACAAACAATAGCGACCCCGGAACTGACCCTTGGGGAACCACCGAAAATAAAAATTTTATCTACTGTACAAAATGCTACTGAAATAACGAACAAAGAATTCTCGTACATTTTTTTTTTTTGTAAAACGAATAGTTTTGGAGTTATATTAAATTTATTAAACTAATTTTTGATCCATTATTTCTACAAGACTATCAGTTCCTGTGTTCCTGATATTTTTTATATATTCCGCACTCGTGTACAATTCCCTTAAAGTTTACTAACCTAATTTAAGTGTAATAGTAAAAGTAAATTTTCACAATCACAAAATTCGCTGTTTTAATTTGATTGAACTTTGCAAGTAGCAAAGTATGACGTGTAAAACAAGCGTTAGAAACAAATTGTCCCAGGGTCAGGCAAAAGCCGCTCGGGAATTCGCTCCTTTTGCATTAAATAGAGCTTATTTTTACGGTAATATAACTTGATGCGTATATCTATTGTATTCTATCCCATTAAGGAGGTATATCGGTGACTATGAGAGGCCTTCATTATAGCCATCCTTGTCAATCGCATGGATTTCTATGGCTTACTTTATCGCTCTCACATAACTTCAGATAGACCATCGGTACTTTCCTACCCTGTATACATTTTTCCTAAATCCCATGTACATTGCTAGCAACAATAAATTATCCACAATAGATGATTTTTTGTAATGTTTTTAAAAAACTAGATTAATTAAAAAAGACTAGGAAGCTGTGATATGGAATAAAAAATACAGTTGATAAATCCTTTTAATATATTTAATGGTTTATAAAAACAACGTAATCATTACCCAGCAATATTCAGGGGTTACATAAAGTTTTCTTTACTTGATTAATATAATTAGTAATACTTGAGATAAAAGCATTTGTACGGAATAACAAAGGAACATAAATATTTCTCAGCAAACTTTATATCTAAAAAATTAGTTATAGTTGCAAAACTTTTGTAACATTACTAAAATAGAGATTAAAAACACGAACAGTGAGTAATAATGTAATTTCTGTCACAGAACCTTCAAAATTGCATCCAACATTTTCTTTGACTTGGACGAGAGATGGGCGCGAGTGTCATTTCATTTCTTTAGAACTAAATTAACATAATTCTCGTTGTTTTACCAGTTCACATGATTTACGGATTTTAAATAAAGGATACAAATCTTCGCGAGGATAATACGATATATTTGCTATATATAATAATTATATTGTACATAGTTTACACACAATACATTTTTGAACGCGTACGCATCTTTACCCGAATTTGACGCGCAATATCTCCGATGTCCGAGGTCTGTAGGTTCGCAGTGTGTACAACTGCTAGTCAATTATTAGCGCTGTTGCCACATCTACATAGTCTTTATGCGTTCATTAAATATAATTTAAAACTACTTAAATATGATATTTTTATGTTGTTAATTTTCAATATGTATGTTATGTGCATATTGAGTAGATTTCTTTGCTATATAGATAATGTTTATCGCAAATAATTTCAATAGAATTTAATTTTTTCAAGTTGGCAGCGGGCTTTAGTCCCATAAGAAAAGCATAGGACCCCCCCTGCGCTCCTCACTTCCCTCGGACCCCGATATACCTGCTTAATTCAAACACGAATTTCGATTTTGAGCTAATTTAGAGCTACATATTTCATGTAAATTTTTAGATACACCTAAATTGAACCGCTCTTTATTATTATCGAATATTTCGTGAAACGTCATTGACCAAACGACCCTATATAAAAACCGACACCGCCCGATGTATTTTTGATCCTCGAATAAAGTGGGGAAAATACCAGCGCTTACCTGGAGAGACAGCAGCGTCCTGAGCGACGTATCCTTTTCGGAAATAGTAATGTTGCCGATGTAGCCCCTGTCCGCCCATTTGTTCAGGATGGATCGGATCCTCTTCTCGTCCTTCTTCAATCCGAACACGTGGAACGTTACGTCGGCCCCAGACATGAAGTGCCTGAAAACGGGCCAAGTGAAATATTTCATGAGCTGGACTGAATAGTGGATGAGGACGTTTTAATATTTTAAAACCTCCCAGGATGTGAATGTATCGACCAGTTTTACGGGGGTGTATGTATTATGAACGGGAATTGTTCAGATCGGACACGGGATAACGGGACTGTTAAAACTTTGTTTGCGGTTTCACCGCGCTTTTACATTTTCATTTATTTTTAAATAGAAAACAAAACAGACAGTCTCGATATGAACTGTATATATAGTACCTAGTATCTAGCCATATCGTAAAATTAGTCGTTTATAAAAAACTTAGCCGATTTATAAAATATGGTCAGAATTTCAGAACATTATACTAAAAACTCATTCAATTATAAAACATAGTATTAAAAACACATTAAATGCTAGGTTAATGACCGAATATTACAAGGGGGTTTAAGTAATGATTTGAAAATTCTTTTTACGGCGTAAATATGCATTTAATTTTTTTTTATGGCGTATTTTTCACAAGTCATCAAAGTTGATAAAATAATTTTAAAGCATTTGATCGATTTTTTAATACTTGAAATAGTAATTAAAAGAATTGCACGTACAGAAATGTGAAAAATAATAGCCTCGAAGGCAAATTCACGTACACGAAATATTGGGACTCCCTGTATGAACAAAAACTTCCGAAGATTGTAAATTTATTCTCTGGCAAGTTCTTGGTTCCGTTATAAAATACAGTTTTAGGTGTTTCTATACATATTATACACTCTCTTGGTAGGAAGGAATTAAACCCCAGAGCGATAGTTTCCAAGTAAAAACAGAGCGGTCTGCTAATCGGAGGTGCAATGTCTAACGCGGCGTAGCCCATAAACTGCTTAACCATAAATTATGGACTAACCAAGATTCTCTTGCACTTTAGGGGTTTCTTGGTAACTAGAAAGATTTACTGCACAATTTGTAATTTCTTCATTCCTAAAGTCCTGACGTAAATTACGTGTTACGTTAAATTTACGTTCATCCAAGCTAATATTTCATCGGGCTGTGTGTTTCGATAAGAAACTAATAATTTACATCCAAATTAGATGAAAATAGACAAACAATTTCTAGAAGTGCAAACTAACTGACTTAATAATTATATTTTTGGCCTACTGTTGGCTATGCGCACTTAGAAATTATTTATTTTGTTATTCTTTTAGATACGTAGTTGTCTGCAGCAACATAATAGTTATAGGACCTTAGAAACACATGCAACATAGTTTATGATTGATTATATCAAACGATTTTCAATTTTCAAGCAAAGAAATAAGTCAGAGCTAATTAAAGTCAATACAATCCAAGCCAAGTATACTGTAGATAAAAATTCATTTGTAGTTGCATCTATAGTGACGTTAATTTCATTTGTAGTTCCTCGAAATCTAACTATGTATAATCAAAGCTCTACCATGAAAACAATCCATCAGATTCCATGCCGTCAATTTCGATGAATGAATGAAAAATCCTACAACTTTTCGGTGGGGCTATTATTAAAAAAATCAAAACGAGCAGTTCTCATAAACCCCTAATCAGAATCGGAGCCGTTTTGCGTATCTGTTTTTTAACAACAGTTTTGAGAACTAAACCCCCACCGATTACACGTTATTATATTATTAGGGCGGGGAACGAAATAGGCGCCTGACAAAAGTTCCGAACTCTCGGCTCGACTGGCTAAATTAGTTCCAAAATTATTCCGACCGCTTCTAACTCGTCTTGGATCTCCTCCCGCGGCTCTGTATGGAAACAGATACTTTATTTCTGGGTATACTTTAGGCTGGAGACGTTCTAAAAGGGTGGTTGACATGCCTGAGAGGGCTCAATAGACGCGAAGTTGATTAGCAAGAATACCAAATATGGAGGAGTCATTGAGTAAGGGGGGCTGTTTAATAACATTGTTACAAGAATGCTTAGAAATTAAGTGTTCTATTTTCTGTTCTCGTGGTCTACCTGTCCATTCGAGCGTGTTTACTGAAAAGTTGTTTAAGGCAGATTTTAATCAACAACCAAGGACGTATAATTTTAAAACTTTGGGGTTATGTATTGTTTCTGAACATCCTTTATAGCAACGTGTTAAACAATTTCCATTATTTAATAACTTTCTGACGTATATACCTATTATGGTGTAATTGTGCGAGGTATTTGAAAAATCGTGTAACAAACTTTGAGAACTAACAGACGTTTCTACTCGTAGTACTGATGCCACATTTGTAAAATACAAGGCAAATTCTATAAGAATACAGTCATAAAGAACGTATTAATTTTTTACTAGGTGGTTTTTCGACCTTATGTATTTTGGAGACACATTTTGGGACATTTAAAAAAATGTCCAAATCCAAAAATTTTGAAATATATCAAAAAATTCTGGAAAATTTTTTTGAGTATTCCTCGAGTGATTCTAAACAATTTTTGGTTCATCTAATTTTTCCCCAGGTTGCGAAATTTCGAATTAAAAAATCGCTTCTCCACGAAAATTTTTGGAACATTATGATCGTTTTTGCGAATATGAAAAATTTTTCTCCCTACTTTCACGCAGACAGTTTTGTAGTATTTATCAAAACGAAGATTTTCAGCTGAAAAAAATTTCGAAAAACATCAACTTGCGCCATGTAGGACCACATTTGCCCCGAAAATCAGTTTTTTTTCATAAAAATCGAATTTTGGAGTCAATTTTAAAAAAAATGAAGACCGAAATAAAAAATCCCAAATGAGGGATCGATAGGGACATTCAAGACGAACATTTTGAAAAAAAATTCACCCGAAACAGTTGAACTATGTGGGGTGTAGAGTAATTTGAATGCCACAGTGGCGTTTCTTCATAATTTCATTAAAAATTAAGTTCCTATTTTAAGAGATTCATAATTACTGCAAAATCGACATTTTATTTTATTTATTCAAAAGCTGGAAAACAATTGTCTTGAAATTTACTAAATGTTTCACAATAATAATTGTTTACATTTTTTCCGTAGGATAAGTCTACCGCGGGCACACGTGGTATGCACCAGCTGTGTAGCGTTATGTTAAGCGCTGTTGTCACGTTGTAATTAAACTCCCCAATATTAATACTCGCTGTATTTTGAAAACTGTTAATCTTACGCTCCTGTAATATACAACTTTTTTGTTCATTTATGATTACTCTATCTCATGCTGAAATAATGGCAGTCAAACGTCATACACCCTTTATAAGCATATATCTACAGTCTTTTACATGATGGCGCAGTCCGTTTGCTACTACATAGTATTTTTGTTACAAACAAAACCTCTATTGATTGGCCTAATACTAAAAATGTATTACTTTAAATACGACCGAGACTCGTTCCAAGAACAACGATATCGACAAACGCCTCGCGCCTCTCGCCAGGGCCCCGTCGTACACAACGGATCCTTGGGCGCGCCTCCCCTGATAAGTATTACAAACAACCGCCGGCGGCCCTCTCGGCTATTTCTAAACTTCGCTAATGAACAACCGACAAGAGCCTCGCGTCGCATCGCGGCAACTCCGTATCTTAATAGATATTACCCCGTACGTCTCCACGCCGCCCCAGACCACCCACCGCCGACAATACCGCTTTTCCGGTGCAGTAAACAGCTACATACCCAGGTATTACCGTTTACAAACGGCCGTCGTTCTGCCGGAAGAGCCGCGCAATTAATTTAATCCGCTGTTCACTAAATTCGACCGAGTCTGGACGAGCCACGGACCCCAGTGGAAGGGCAGAAGTTCCGACAGACAACACGTTTCCCATTTATAGATAAAAGTAGAAAGATTACATTTTTTAGTGAAATTTTGTGTCCGCAACAAGTTTCACTTCGATATACCTACATGATGTGTCTAAAATGCGTAACTATATTGTAATGGTAAATGCTATACCACAAATCGCAAAAGCTTGTACGGGATGCACCGTAAAAATGAACTGTGCAGAATATGTTACCAACAGGTCTTTTTGTTTAAGTAAATAAACGCTGACTTCATTGCAGCAAAGTGTGGATCAACTAACTATGCCATTACCACCTAGATTAATCAATCATGACGTCACGTGGAGAGAGATGCGTTACAATAAGTCATTATTAATAAACAGTAGTGTCAATAATATGAAAATGAATCAAAAGTTTTTCGTAGGTCTATTACAAACACACGGAATACAAATATGAAATTTACACTACTTTAGAACTCACGCAGCACGACAAATAAATCCCACGCAGACAATATCCACAGATCTCTATTAGATTTCCATGTGACGTCATTTCAAGTAAACAGATATTATACGTCTTGCTCGCGAATGTTTTACTTTTTATAAAGAAATCTCGATGTCGCTTTTACTTAAAAAAAAAGTCTGTAACACAAATACTTACACAACGTTAATGACGGACACATCCTCCACCCTGGAGAAGTTCATCTGGAGGTTCCTGAGCAACTGGAAAGAAATTAGCCTTTAATGAGACATCACAAAAAAATTAAAGAAAGAAATAATGCCGAAAGAGGTGAACGAGTCCGGCCGGGGCAGCAAAGTATTTATTTTGGGTTCAGGTTTCCCTCTAGGAAAATATGAAGAGAAATATTTACAAAGGGACCTAATTAAAGACGTCGGCAACAATCCAGCAGGGGGTTATTTTTCTTTTATTGTCGTCGTTTCTCTGTTTTTTTTTGCGCCCAGCCTCGAAGCTGAACTTCAGTGCGACCACGGCATATTCCCTCTCCTCCCACCCCCCTACTTCACAGGTTACCACTTGTTAAATATAATTCAAAAGGTCAAATGTACAAAGGTCTCTTTACGACCGGTATTAGGGACAATTATTTGTCCAAAGGTCGTTTGAATATGACCGGACGGATCCCTTGATGTTCGAGGGAGTTCTTTTATTAAATACAGGGTCGGAAAGTCCCCATGGTTCATCGGCCGTTACGTGAGAGCGATAAAGTAAGTCATAGAAATCCGTGCGATAGACAAAGGATGGCTATAATGAAGGCGTCTCATAGTCACCGCCCATTTCGCCCTTCCACAAATAAGATCCTCTTCCACTTGTAATTCAGCGACCGGTGGTCATCTTTGTTTTCGTCGTTTGCCTTTTCTTTAATAGATGTCACTACTTATACAATTTCGACTTCGGTTCCAATATTTTAACACCATCCGTTAACACACGCGTAACAAAGAAAACTTTTTACAGTAGCTAGTAGATACCTCTGTTTGTAAATCTAGTGACCTTGTTTCCTCTACTGAGAAGTTATTCAACTGGAGTATAGTGCTCAGCTGCATTTAAAGTTCATTTAATTGTTATTTAAGTATACTTTTTAAAATGACTTAAAAATCCCAAGAAATAAAGCAAAATTCCCTATTTCCCCAATTCCAAAAAAATCTGTAGATCATCACTCTTTCTAGGGCTGCCCTCTGCACTTAAATTCTTGTCTAAGCTGCCACTGGATGGCATAAATCGAGTGATCCTAAATTAGCCAGTAAGTTGCATCATCACTTATTTATTATTTACCCGCAACCAAATGACCGTACACCGTGGCCAGCTTAAATTTAAGCAGAATCCGATCCTGTTCCAAACGCTTACGAAGGGTAACGGAGGCTAGCCTCCGCTGCGCAGGCTGTATGTGACCCTTATATAAAACATATGAGTCTAAATGAGCGTAGCCTCTGGTGTATTTTTCACGACCCATAAATAAGTGCAAAATGAACAAATATGTCGCTTCATTTACATTTATTTTAGTTTCCAGTAAAGTAGTTACTGCAGGTACTTCCAAGACTAATAATAAATTAATTATTCTTTCATACTTTTCGTATTACGTTACTTGGTTGACTTTTATTTTCTAAGTGGTCGCTACTACCTTTTATTATACAACAGTGGAGTTGTATGAATAGAAAGAATTTTTCAAATGCATTCAATGCATTTTTAAGCACACATCACGCATTCTGTTACATACCCCAGCATGCGAGGAGTTTATTTTTATTCTTTACCCCTGTATTATGTTTACTTTCATATGCGAATTTCAAATGTGCTTGTGTATGTACGTTTCAACAAGAGCTGCCACTCTACACTTTATGCAATACATACATGCACGTTTTCATATTTAACGAGTGGAATATTGGAAAATAAATGTTTCTCCTGTTTTTGCGCGGTTATTTTTACTAATCAAATAAACGACGGGAAATGCACCGGCGACAGACCGGCATTTCTCGACCAACAGCAAATTTAATGTTTTATCGGGGCTAATATTAATAAAACACAAAGGGTTACAATGTAATGCGGTTTAGCGTGCTAATAAAATTAAGTTCATGTATAGTCCAGTAAATGAAAAAAAAAAAAAAAAAATTGTAAAAAAATTTGTTTCAGGTTGAAACTTGGTTTAATAGTTAGTTTAGTTATATTTCCCAAAAAGTATCGGTTTAAAACAACAAGATCATTGTTTAAACAATGATTAAAATGTAGAAATGACCAAAAATGGAGTGTTTTAGCTGTAATAAAAAGCGCTCTCCAACAGGAGTTTTTGCTTTTGTTTATACTTATGTTTTAAAAAACGCTTCATTTGTGACTTGCTAAATTAAAACCATTAAGAATTTGTTTAAATAATCGCAAAAAATGCATTTTATAGTAATTTTTAACCCTTTAAAAAACGTCCTCGAATACATTTTTACACCTGGAATGTTGTGGGAGAAATAAGACAAAAACGTTCCGAGATTTCAAATCTTAACTGCCCGAAAATTTTGCGATATCTCCGGTAATTGTGGATCAATTTTAACGTTTTTTTTTTAATCTGGGGTAACGCATGAAAATAATAACAACTGCACCGTACATTTTGCAATAATTAATTATCAATCTGAAACGAATTACCTTCTGATTTACATGTATTACAAATTTCATTTACTGGGCTAGTAGACACAGAAATATGATAGGGACAGTAGACAGACAGCAGAATAATTTCTACTTAGTGTTTGGCGACCAATTATTTCATATTTTAATAATAGCTTCGCGTTCGTGAACGTTTTTTAACGAAAATGACCCGTTAAGGACGGGATTTTGTACAAAAAATATCGCCCAGCGTGAGTCACGGAACGGGACCCCGGCAGGTGCTGCTCTAGCGGCCAACGCTTCAAGGTGTGTTTTTTAACAGAACGACGAAGTCTAATAATTTACGCTGGACGTAAACGGCTCGATTTTTCAGGAGCGGCTCCAATTTGTGTACATACAATCTTATAAGGAAAGAGAGTAAAGATTTTATTAATCATTAATAGATTATCGAGGACAATAATATTTTTTTTATTAAGTAGGCAATAATTTTTAGTTAATAAGGTTAAACAATCTTATAATTACCATTCCTTTATTATAAAAGCAGATATAATTTTTAAAATTACATGTAGTTTCTTCTTCAAAAGCTTAAAAAACGTATAACAGGAACAGTCAACAGTCTAATGTTTATATTTTCACGTTAACGATCCGATACGTAAATTAACTGCTATTTTCAGTAAAAATGATATAACTTGAATTATTTTTTTACTTTGGTGAGTCGTATTAATTTAAAAACACTGCCTAATTACTAAAATATATAGCTACTTATATATACTTATACTAACTTGCTACTAATTACGTTTGGAGAATAATATGTATAGTAGGGTGGCACAAAAAAA